ACCGGATGCATTAACGGCGCTTGCGCTGCTCTGCGAAGTACTTGACACTTGCGACTTGAGGTAATTTGAGCTCCACCACTGGCTCCGGACCACATATTGCAGTGTTGTTCGTGGAGATTTTCGACCTTTCCAGCCCAGAAATTACTGCTAATATCGGAGCTAGCAAAAAGTTCCGAAAAACGGTTCATAATCGTGGAATACGGTTCTTTCAGGAAATCACCAGCTTTTCTTTTGTGGTTGTATGTCGCCCTTTTACCGCTGTCAGCCTGTGCCAAGAAAAAACCAAGTGTGGCAGAGAATACAAAAAGCGTGCGGACACTCATCGGTGGTAAGATACGCATATCATGCAACAGCTGCCAAAGGCTGCGTTCACACTTCGACGCGCTACCTTTGCAATAACGCTTTAGTGCTATGGATGGCAGCCCAGCTATGTGCCAACTGGTGTCGACCGCTAGTTGGGAGAGTATAGGAGAATGAAGCAGTAGCGAACTCCTGTTCTCTTAAACTCTCTAACACGCTGGCACATACAGTCTGGTATCCTCCATTTCTTCAATAATCTCCCGAGACACAAGTAACCAATAACTAGGGCTGTGTTTCTGCAACAGCACTGGAGCGTTATTGCAACGGAAGCCTGAACGCAGCCCACAGCACCATTAATTGATGGACAAAATCCCCACCGTTCCTGGAGTGGAGAGGGAGGTCCACGTATGATGTAGCTTTTTCGCCATATCAGAGTGTGTGGCAAAGATATCAGAGGTTTGAGATTTATGGACCTCGTTCACTCATATATACCATTTTCACATAAATCGGACACTTTTCAAACCAAATCGGACACTTCAAATCAAATCGGACACTTTTCAAATCAAATCGGACACTTTTCAAATCAAATCGGACACACCCTTACAATAGGCAGTTGATAACTAGACCACACTAGGTACTGCTGCAAGCCCCGCCCCAACATCCCCGCCCACTTTTCAGCGCGGTCACGGTTTTCCAAAATGTTTTATGAAATCTGCTTCTTCGACTTTTTTCACTTTTGCTAGTTGCACACACTTCAACTGAAAAGGATTGGTACCGATACAGATCTGACTCCGCCCACTTCACAATCAAGTGACGTAAGTTCTGAATTTTTATAACTTTTTTTCGACGTTGTTTTTTCACATTCAATCTTCACAAAACGAATATAGCCATGCTTTTACACACTAGCACACTAGGCCCCGCCCCTCTGACCACGCCCACTTTCGTTTTTCGCGGAATTTTGATTTTTCTTCCGAATTTTCGCTTTTTTTCGACTGTAGCAAGCAGCTCCGCCCATTTTGTGGAGGCCCCGTCCCGCTTCTGAAAAATGATGCAAATGTCGATGGGGATGTTGAGGCGGGGCTTGCAGCAGTACCTAGTGTGGTCTAGTTATCAACTGCCTATTGTAAGGGGTGTGTCCGATTTGATTTGAGAAAAGTCCGTTTGATTTGAAAAGTGTCCGATTTGGTTTGAAAAGTGTCCGAATTGAAGTGAAAATAGTATATAACCTTCCAGTCTCTTTCTGAACTAAAACGCGTTCAATCACGAACAGCACGTGGTCAAACGTGGTCGCAGGCGCCCAAACGCTGTCAAGCACCTCGCCATAACAGTGATGTATGCACTCTAAGGCAGCGTTCAGAATTCGGCACGGCAGCTCTTCGGTCGCGAAGTCTGAACGCTGCCTGACAGACCTCCTGAATGTCCTTTCGTCCTTTCTTCGAAGGATATCTCTACCGCTTGCCATTTATGCGGGAAACATACGTAATGAAAAACTGCGTTAACCGCGTTCGTTGTTCTGAAATGGCCCCCGAAAAAAATATAAACCTTTGTACCTTAATGGCACCATTATTAATGTAAATAACAACTTCAGAAGAAGAAGGTCAGCAATCAGGTTCGAATCAATCAGCTACAGCAAGGAAACAATGAGTGAGTTCTCAGAATAACAGCTATGCACGTCACAGTGTGAACATGCATTAAACATTTCATTACAGAGAATTTCAGAGTCAAATCAGTTCGTAAGAATCAAAGAACTTGTCAAACTTCAACTACTTGGATCAACATCAGCTGCATAAATTTTAAAAATATTACGTGACGCAGATAAAAGCATATATATGGGTTTGTGTGGAATATCTAAAATGTCCGCTAATAACTGAGGCAGCCAGCAACAGAAGTCATACCAATTCGCAACTCGAGCGATTTAGCTTATACGTTATCAGGAAACCGCTTCGAAATGCCTAACATCGGGTTTGTGACAAGACGGTCGTAATTCGCCGAGCTGGTTGGCGTCGCGTGAGACGTCGCGCACGCAGATGACCATGTTTCTGAGCCATAGATGACGACAATGGCTAATGTATAACCAAAAACTGTCATAAGTATCCACTATGTCGCAGATAACACGAAATCCGGTGCTTCAGTAGGCAGATTCTACGCAAATGAAGAAATGTCGCTACCACTAGCCGCGCGACGGAGCGACAAATCACGATTATCTTGTCCCTCTCCTCCTGACATCTGTGTATGCTAACTTTCATACGTTGCAAAGTGCTCTGTGTCGTCGTAGGACTGCATTCATCTCTCACATCATTGGAGGATAGCAGAATCTACGCGAAACAACAGATACGGAACGATTTCGTCGACTCCACCATGGGAAGAGGATTTGAAAAAGAATAAAAAAAACTTGAAATGTGTCGATTTGAAGAGTCGTAAAATCGACGATTTGGCGAGCTGACAAAGTCCCATGGTTGAGGTGCCCTTTTTCCGAAGTCTCAGTTCAATTCGATCTTCACAGATCACGAAAACAAGCCCTCTGCTCACGTCTACCTGACGTGCTGGAGTAAAAAAAAACACAAGTAGGATCACGCTGAAGACCCCATTACCTTCTCAAAGGGGAACACAACCTGTTTAAGCTGCTCATGTTCAGCCCTCAAGCTCATTCACAGTCTATCCTATCGGTTCTCCTTTTCCTTCATGGATATCTATAATTCAATGTATCTGAGCATGATATTCCCAAGACGAAGAAGCATCGTGTTCCTAACGCAAATTTCCCGACTCCATAGATCGATGGATACACATTCCATCTTGAACGGCGCAAAGTATGAACGCGGCCTAGCCGATGGAAAGAGGTCAAGGATGCCGAAAGATCCGCCACCGCGCTCCTGGTACCTGCATCACAACGACCAAGATATCGAGCTCAGTTATGGAATCGAATCAGAAATATCAGGAATTGGGTAAACCTACGTAACTCCTAAATTACTCCAATCCTGTTGATGCTACTGGACTGGACCAGGTTTTTGAATATGTAACTTGCGAGTTGAAACTCTTGCAACAAATGGCACTCGAAAACCAGAGAGAACCGCCGAGGCGAAAATATCGCGGAGAGACCGATGAGTAAATCTCAAGCTTCGAACCATGTTACAGACTCAAAGAATGTCCTACTTTCGCGACTCAACAGCGAGTAAGAGGTGTGCCTAAGCCGCCGAGAGCCATAGTTCACACCAGCGCTATCGGACCACCCCACCCGACGACCGCATTCTTCACTTCCAAAGGAGGCTCAGTTCTTTGTTAGGCCGCTGTTCATAGCTTTGACGACTGATAGAATTGAGATGGGAAAATTCGCATGAACATGCGGAAAGGCAGAAGTGGCGGCAAAGAGAGCGCCAGATAAGCCTGTGGTGAGTATCTACTGCAGAGAATCATATAATGATCAATAGTAATACGACTGAAGAAATGTAAAGAAATGCCTGGAGAACACACCACCTGAGGGACCACGAGTCTGCAGTGAAAATGCACGAAAACCGATAAAACGTATTCACATAAGTAGTCTGATTTGACAAGAATCCGTATGGACGAGAACCTTATAGCAGAGAAGCGTGAAGAAAATGCCGCGTATCTGCAGGAAATGGCAAGACATTGCTGAAATGGAGAGGAAATGGTGCAGAAAAGCAAGGCTGACTGGAGGCAGCAGTGATTCTGGGTCTCGGACAGCTTTCGGCATTGTCTATCTGAGTCTACGATCTCAGAGAGGGGGAGCGGGCATGACACTTCTTCACTTTCGCGGCATTTCCTGCATTTCTTCAAGTGAGTTGAGATCCGCCGATGGATGGCGTTGCAGCACATTCGCGCACGTGTCCGACATTTCTGCACTTCGCCGCACGTACTGCAGCTCTTTCGAGTCGTAGTATATGCTGCATTTGTTAAAGTCCCGATAGTGTTTCCTATGTGTCTTTTCTGGTCAGCATTTCCAGCCCACTTCCTGCACTTTCCGGCTCGATCCGGCTCGAGTCATTGGCTTCCTAGAGACAATTCTCTTGCAGTGTTCTCGAGAGGGGCGCGAGAGATCAAACGCGCCCTTCAGCAGGGTAGAAAACTGTTGTTGGTAGTGAGGGATGGAGCTGCGTATCCATTTTTGGCCCCATCTGAGAGCGGGGTGTCAGTACGTTCCTCCCCCCCCCTGCCACCTAAATGATGGGTCTCGGTAACGACCGCTCTAACCGAGGGGCTGGGGCGGGAGGGGGGGGGGACTTTCAGGAAAAATTCTGGAATGCGGAAAAGTGGCAGGAAGGTGGAGAGTTCCCCATATAGCAACCCACAGGGGTTTTTGGAGGATGGGGGGTTGCGAATGAGCTGCTCTACCCCAAGAGGCACTAAGAACGAATAACCAACTTTTTCTCTCACGTTGGGAGACAATTGTTTCGTCAGTTCAGTATTTTTCACAAAAATTTTCCCAGTTGAGATCGGGTATGACGTGGGATATAGTGAGGGATGAGATAGGTCGCGCGAACAGAGGAGGGAATGGTTCGGACGCCCTTCGACACCTTCTCTACCACTGTTATATTCACAAGTGAATTTGCCGAAGAACTTTCCCTACATTTTTGCCTAAAAGTTCTTGCTGTAGAGCGGAGGCGCGGGGTTGTGTTTCTAGGGAAAAAACTGGAGAATATTTGGACAACACGACTCTGGCACAAAGTTAGGTCTAGGGCTGTAGAACAGCGACAGAGCAGCGCGCCAACAACGGGTCAACAACCCGGACACGAGACAAGGCGCGAACAAATTTCTCTCAAAGGCAAGCATAGCACTGCCTGACTCTCTTCGCGCAGTGGTATTTTCCTCGCGCCAGAGAATAGAGAGAATAAGTGCGAGCCCACTACACCAGGCAGTGAATCTGTAGAGCAACCGACTCCACGGACTGCAAAGAATAGACTGATCTTCTTCTCTCTTGAACCAACTGCAGCTCTTACTCTCATCATCAATTTGACTGCCGACAATCGATACACTACACCAGTCTATCCAGTCCTTGATCTCTACTGCGCTGACGGTAAGACCAGTTGACATCCCCAGTGGTAAGGTTGATTGCTGCAAAAGCTTGAGTGCAGTGCCAATCCTTAATTCGTACGCAGAGTTTTCGTAAGTTACTTATTGCTAAGAGTTTTACTCCTGCGTTTTTGTCGTTTTTCGGTTTCCTTCATTTGCAGTGGATGGGATTTAGTACTGAGAGATGAGAAATGCGATTTTCGCTCAATCTTCAGTCGCCGCGTTGCGACCGTTGCAGTCAACCCAGCGCTAACGCGACGTGGTCTGCACTCTAGGAGTGAGACACCGAGTACAATATGATCGAAATCCTCGCCCGTGTATAGACTCGAGGACAAGCGATATCCCAGCTCTTGAGTCGAGATAGTGAACTCACGTTTATGTAGGAGTGATTGTTCTATGGGAGAGTGTAATCGGTTGCATGTTTTCGTTAGTCACTTATGCAGAAATACGTGCTGCAGATCATAATGCAGCTTATCATCACTTTTCATTGATCCATGCCTTCATGCCTTAATCGCGTGGTGGTTAACTCCTTAAGCGTGCAAGCACAAACTATTGCAAAGACGACACACGTCCTCGAGTCAAGGGTACGGACAACATACTTAACTAGAGAAAGTTTAACAGGGGTTTTATTCCACAACTCAATCACATGTTCCGACATCTTGAAAAGACTATATGCAATCGTCGCGCTGCCGTCGACATACATGAATAGTCATGTGCGGACGGAGTAACTACATTGTCAGTCCAACAATTGTGTGAACAGAATAAAGTAGTACGAAACAGATTGGAGTGTACATCTCTTCCGTTATATGTGCGCAACGATTCAGTTCTTCAAACCCGAACGCCGTGGTTACTAGTCACTTTTATTTCCAGCAAAATGGAGAATAGAAACAGAAACCTTTCAAGATAGTGGAACAATGTGTGAAGAAAGGATCGACCCTTACCTTGATTTTCTCGCCCTTTAATTGTATGTGACGATTGCTTCCAACAGCGAAGTTCCCAAGGTTTTTTGTTTGTGGAAGGACTTTACCTTTCAATAATCATTCTAGGTGTCTCCCTCCTTGCCTTATAAAGCGACGTCCAATAACGACAAGCTGCAATGAGTGACCGGTTTCTAAAAAGTGCTATAGGGAATGCTGCGTTCACACTCACCTTCTTCCGTAAAAAAATACGTAACGTTTAAAATAGGTTAATTCGGTGAGAGCTTAAGCGGTTGGGGGTTGGCTGGCGCAACTGAACAGTTTGTTCTTGCTGCCTTCGGAGGTTTCCGAACGCATTTTCACGTTCTGTTCGTATTGTTCTCAGGCTTTTATCTTCTTGTACAGATCTCAGCCATCCTCTTCGGGATTTGTCCGCTTTTCCAGCTGCGTCCATTCGGTTTGCGTTCAAACGAGCAAAACATTAATAGAGTGAATACATGAAGCACAGAGTCCGCGAGATATCTAGGAGCTAAACAAGACTGACGATTTTTACGAAAAGGCTGCATTGCCTCTGTCCGACGCCAGGTTTCCTTGCTACAAAGGGCAGAAGCTCTTCTCACTGGTCAATTTCCTTAGCTCAAGGCGTTCCGAAGGAAGGAAATTGAGAAAGCGATGATAGAGCAAAGGAATGTATGGGAGCGAAACAATGAAGAATCCGAGCAATTGCCTTGCGCAGCTGACAGTATTCCTGGAGACGGTATGTTTACGTAATAACGAAGTGGTAGCCGTGTAATT